ATATCCAACTTAATAGTGCTTTCTTATGCAGATTTAAAATAGCTTCTTAATTTTGTTCTGGTCAAAAAAAAATCTCAGGTGGTGGTTTTCTTTGTTCTGTTTCGTTGTTTAACCAGTTGAATGGCCCACTGATTTCCATTAAGATCTTATTAGTACTAGGAGTACTACATATACTATGTTCACAGTAAAAAATATGTTAACTGTCAAAAAGGTAAGTGACCTGGTCTACATTTTATAGAGGTGGTCACTTCAGAAACATCAGTCAGACAAAACTACATAAGGGATTTTCAAAGTGTAGATTAAAATACTGTCCAGCTCGCTAGCTGGCATGGACATTTTTATTTTCCTTTAATTGGCTTTCAAGAGTTAATGCTATTTTCTTGGTCATCTGTGTCTGCGCAAAAGCAATACTATTGTATAGCACAACAGATATAATCTCTTGTGAAAGAAGTACGCTTTTGTTAAATTGTTGCTCTGTTTCTGCTTTCAACATAGCAGACCGTGCATGAGATGGGAATCTAGGTATAGGTTGCTGTGGAATAGAGCTATCTCCTCGCTGGAAAGAGCCCTGTCTCTAAGCTAAGGCTACATTTGGAACTAAAATTTATTTTAAAAGCATAATTATATACCTTCTCTAAAGCAGACGTGCTATTAAGTGACAAGTTCTCTCTCTTTTTTTTTTGTTCCCTTATGAAAGCTGAATATAGATAATTATATTTAAATAATGTGCTGATCGTGATACAACATTTAGCAGCCAAAGCCTGGGAGAGTTTTATTTGAAAATCCCTTATTCAATGCCATCATTAACCATATATGGAGAAAGAGGGGGAGTAAACATTGAAGGATCGTACCTCTTAGTCTTACACTGCAGGTTTGCCAAGAAAATGGCAGCTTTCCTGTGTTAGCCAGCAATATATTCCAAATCCCATAGACAAAGCCATGTGTCAGGTGCCCATTCTTATCCTGTCTTCCTTCTAAAATAATAATAAATACCAATTAGTGAAGGTACTTTAAATGCATCTGAGCTCCTTTTAGGTAGCTAGGCCCTTAAACAGGGTAAATTTAACAGCCCTAGGTACTACTAGCCCATAAACTGTATAGACACTGATTTTTAATTCATGCTGGTATGCCACATAATTTCTGTACTTTCATTTCCAAACTCTTGAGAACAATGGCACTGTGTAACACCTTGTTTCACTTGAATGACTATGGAATGCAATCAAATCGGGATTTCATTTGTGAAGCCATCACTAACTTTTTAGGTTATTTTTAAGAGTTCTTTCAATAAAACCGAAGTATGTAGAAGAAGGAAAACAGTTGTAGAAACTTGGCAGTTAGCTTCAGAAACTTGGGAGAGAAGATTTGTTATATATAGCATAAAAATGGAAAATTTAACACAGAAACTGGATTGTGGAGATCAAGAAGTATTCAGGGAACTTTCTGAAGACACCAATACTGATTCTTCCTGTACCTATTAAATTATACTGTTCTTGTCATCCTTAATTTCTCCTCCTGCATTCTATGCATACTAATTCTACTCCTTATGATGCTTACCTGTAAAACTTCTTCATTTGCATAGAATATAGAAGTAGGCCTTCTGCAGGTGTAGGTACGTTATCCAGAATCTTCATTAATAATACAGAGATGTCTTGTTACACTGTCTAAAATCCAAGATAGCAACTATGCCTGTCTACCTTCCTCATCTTCCATAATTCCTTAGGTGCTTTCAACTCATTTTCAGCACAGCTTTCTTTGGGAGGGGAAAGAGACAGAAGTCTAAGATACTCACATTTCTAGAAGTTTTATGAAACTAAGAAGCTGAGGAAAGGAAAGATGGCATCTGAAAATCCCCAGGACTGTATTGCAAACTCTAACCCATTATCAGACAAAGTGACTCTACATGGGGGGAAAGACAAAGCACAGCTGGGAGAGACTTCAGATGGGATAGTATCTTATCAGTTACCAAGGAATCCAACCCTGTGACAGCAGGTTTCATTAGTCTTTATGCTCACAGAACTGCTTTCTTTAGTTTGCTGGTTCACTTGGCAGGAGCAGTGAGGTTTGCAGCCTTCTTGTTTCAGTTCAATACCACGTTGCAGAGTATTCGTTTTACAACTTAAAAAAAAATACTAGAACTAGTGGGACTGTGACTACAATCTTTAATGCAGGAATATCTGCTAACGGAATTAGTTGGGAAATTCAAATTATGTTTCACAGAAGTATTAGCAAATTCCACTCCTTCCACAGAGACTGAAGGAAGAAAGGTTTTTTGGAGTGAATGGTAATTCCTTAATGACTGGTTCAGTGAATAATTACAGACTGCTGGGCATTGAGCCATTCATTGGAAGGGGAGCTCTCGGGTGATGTCAGTGGAGTTCCATATTTATGCAGTAATGTCTCAGGATAATGCCAATACAAAACAGAATGGTGTTTGACATTTAGGAGAAGACGCAGACAGGAAAACTTGGAAGTGTTAATAAATGTATGTTTGGTAACATTCTTTTTTGATCAGAATGTTTTTAGTAATGCCATATTGAGCCTATAGAAAATGAACCTTTAAAATAAAGTTCTCCACAAGCACATTTTCCTATGGCTTTATAGCTTGTTTCAAGCTAAAATTAAATAAGCTTGAGATTTCCCCCAGTGCTCCCCATGTTTTATGGGATGTTTCAAGAAGAATGTAATCTTACAGAAGAGTATTCTGTGGCATGCAGTTCGTACAGTCCAGGGAATTGCTCATGGAGTACAACACTGCTCATTTTGCCAGCCTTACAGCCCTATAGCTCCTTCCACCTCAGTCATAGTCTTCTCTGCTTATTCTGTTCCTGATGTACTGATATGCAGCTTCCAAAGTAGCAAAAGAATATTCTTCTCTGTGGTGTTTTTTCTAAAATAAGTTGATGTTTTGTCAGGAGTGATAGCTATGATGACTTTGGACTGGTGCTACAGTAATGACAAAGTCCAAGCCTGTACATTGATTACTTTCAGGTTTTGCACTTTATTTTCTACAGGCCAGTTGCAATAACAGGCATGAACATATATAACGCGTGTAAGTTTCACTTAAAATCTTTTATCTTCTGATCTTGCTGGATCATATTCTTCAGTGAACAGGTCAGATAAGTCTGAAAACTTGTGCTGTTTTCTTACCTTATCACAACTGCCCTCACTGTTCCCCTTCACCTTTGCAAGTTATATACGTCATGAGTACATGGTTGATATGTTTGGCATTGAGATGTCTGTGCTTTGGGCAAAGAACAAATGGTAGCCTTCTCATTTGCTTCAGTATCCTTGCAGTGTTTCAAGAAGAGGGCACTTCATGGGAAGAAATGCATGTGCTCTCATGCTCATGAAAGCATTTGTTAATTGAGAGGCACTACACTATTTTATGTGTGTCAGGCAGGCTTTCAGTCAATGCTGACCTCTTTCCATTCCCTAGGTGTTTGTTGTTAGGTTTTGTGAGTTGGTTTTTTTGGTTGTTTTTTTGGTTGTTTTCTTGTTTTGTTTTTTTTTTTAAAGCAGTTTCATAGCGGTTGTTCATAGGAGTAAAATTATCCTGCCAGCCCTTCAGCATTTGGCACAGGACACCAAAGCTTGATAGCAATGAACTTTTTTCAGTCAGTCAGTTTTGCAATGATACTTGATATAGTTATATTTAGACTAAATAAAATATGATGTAGAACCCTTTTCTTGGCTTCTCAGACACATCATATGTACACCCTCATACAGCTGACTAAAGTTGAGGAGGCCAGGACTAGCATGAAGATGAAGAATGGACAGGATTTGTGAAGTTATTCAGAGCTGAGGGTGGGGAAGGGTTAGTTGTTGTCTTCTATGTATCTATTTAAAAAAAAAAGTGTTTATAAAAAATGAGTTTTTTCTTTTTATTTAAAGAGAGAAAGCTGAATCTTTTACTGCTGTTAATGTTTGTGATGACTTCAGGGGCTTCTTCAATGTCCAGCAACTGCAATAGGAACTGATTAAAAAGATTTGTACACTATGCAAATGTGACATTTCAGCTACTTTAGTAATAATAGCTAAAGCTTCTCATTGCGTGCAACTGTGCAATGTTGCCCTTATGCCCCCACCCCCAGTCTCTGGTTACAATTCTATAAATCAAGAAAAAGAAAAAAAAATCCTAACAGGTTAGATCTATAGCAGATACAGCAGATACTCCAGCAGGCATGAAAATCTTTCTCTGACTAAGCTTGAAACAGGAGTTTCCTCGTATCTTTCGCAGATCTTACATTAATGCACATCATCATTATTCCATAATGACATGAGAAATAATGAATTTCTAACGAAAAGAAGTTCTGAGTTTATATCTAGCTTACAGAGCATTGCTTTCTAACCTCTGCATTATACTTTAGCTATTCCGCTTCCTCTGTTAGCATGTCTCCACTCGTTTCAGTGACTTTATGGTAATGCATTCACTTTGGTGCAACTACCATACCAAAATAAATTGTTTGAGTCTGAAGACGTCTATATACAATGCCAAAACTAATCATACTAACAGAAAGGAAAATACACAAAACATAGCTGTGCCTGTGTATGAGCACGCTGTTCTGCATGCAAAAGCATTATCGATTTGTACTTTCTTACTCTTTACACTCTGCATTTTGTGCAAAAAAGAACTTTCTTCCACCCCCTATCTACCTCCTACTTCCCAGCTAATATTAAAAGCAGAGACAGCTCAATAAAGAAATTATGTTGCTGAGGTTATTGCTTTTATAAAGTACTCACTAGCACTTTATGAAGAATGAAAAATGAAGTTGTTTAAAGTACCGTTGAATACAGATTGCATAAAATCCACACACTTTTTTTGCTTTCTACTCTGTTTCTTTCCTAATTTCTCCAAATTTTGAGATTGAGGCATCTTCTTTTGCTGCTTACTGCATCGCCAATCTACTCCACAATGAGAACCTTCTAGTTCTGTTCCTGTTCCATAACGTTATCTGTTTTTCTGGTGTTCTAAGTGTTCTTTTTTTCTTCCATCCAGGTACTGCTATGTGGATATTTGTTAGCAATGACTGATGTGGAATCTACATATGCAGACTTTATTGCTTCAGGAAGAACAGGTAGAAGAAATGCATTACATGACATACTTGTGTCCTCTCCGGGTGGGAACTCTAGTGAACTGGCCTTAAAGTTATCAGAGCTTGATATAAACAAAGCAGGTGAGTACATTTTGGTCTTTTATTATATTTATTTAAAACGAAAATGAAAAGAGTAGTACACAAAACATGGTTTATGTGCATGCATTATTCCCTTGTCCCTCAGCAACAAATTTTTTTTTACTGATAATGGAAGCTCAGCAGGGGTTACCTGCAATAATGGTTATTTGCAAGTACGACATATTACTGAAAAAAGAAAAGTCATTCTTCAGTGAGTGCCTAGTGGCAGAGTCCGTGTCAGGATAAATTTTATGGAAAATTGAGTATAAGGAAGAAAATAAGGAAGTCCTTATTAAAACCCAGCTCTTCATAATATCCTTTAATGGAAGCTCTTTGGTTTGAAGCCTGTAGGACAAGCCATGTGTCTGCTTGAAAGGTTATTGTGGAGATTAATTTTGTTTTCAGCTGCCAGAGGACAGAGCAATAGCAATGCATTGTTGTTTGATTTACTTGGATCTTTGTTTCTGGGTAAATTGTCTCTTTCCCCTTCCTGCTGAGATTAGCACTAATGCAATCCTAATTCTTACTTCACCTCTAATATTACGAAAATTTTTAGCTGATTGTGCACCTTCAGTTGAGAGCAAGGAGGGACAGTGCATGGTGAAGGGCCTTACATTAAATAAAAATAGTAATATTCCTGCGTAATTATTTCCATGTTACGTGGGTGGGGGCTAATGAATGGATCTTACAAATATTTGAAAGCCCTTTTCAGATCTTAGGAAAGAGGTCTTATGCTTATTTTAATAACAGCAGAAGAAAACAAATGCAGCAAAGAACAAACTGTTCATAAGCAGCTGCCCTGTTTGTGCACGTATTTTTCTCAGAGACAACGGCAAGAGTTCTCAGATGCAGTCTCATCACTGGACAATCAGATGTGGGCAGCATGACGTTTGGGTGGTTGTAGTGCTGTTTGGAGGAGGGGATTCTTTTTTTTGGCTTTCAGACTAATGTACATCCTAAGTTATTCCTTCTGCAGTTGCCAGTTTGGGGCCTATAGCTTCTAGATGCATGCAATTCTAGCTGGGCAGGGCCTTTAATTTTTTTTTCTATTTAAAAAGAAAAGCTTTATTAGTATGTGTGTAGGTGTGTCTATTTATTTTAATGTGGGGATACGTGTAAAATGTTGGAAAAATATAAAGTAGGTGGCATTTGAAATGCATAATGCTAACTTTCCTTCTTGCTTTAGTTTTCTTCAGTCTCAAATTTACACTTATCAAAATTGTCTTTGATCTTGTCCATTTAGAAGGTATAAACAATCCCTATTTTTAAGTTAAGCTGTTGGAGTGATTGCAAGCCAGAACTGTGTTCTTTTGTGAGCTATAAGAAGAATGTGACTTTGTGCCTGTAATGTATGTTGGTATGCATTTTGTACATGCAGTTAGCTCTGTAGTGATGAGAATGGGTTAAATAGCCGTTAACCTAATTTTTAACACATAATTCAGGAGTCTCTTTAGTTTTTCTTGGAGGCAACTTTTGCAGCTTGGGTAGCTTAATCATTGCAGAAAACTGTACAGAGTTGCTCATAAAATTACCTTAGGTAGTGGATACACAAAAATGCCTGCATACTTTTTCAGGAGGTTATGCTGTTTGAATTAAACACAATGAAAATGTATTCAAATTTTGTATTATTAGTACACCTAGGTGACAGATAAAAGCCTCCAGACAACAAATATTGGAAAATGCATTGTATTATCATTCGTATGAGTATTGGTGTATTATTCCATCATGTCTTTCCAAACCAAAGAGAGGCTAAAAAATATTTTGCATCCTAAATTCCAGTTCATAATATACTAGTGCTTGTGGGATGTATATATGCATCATGCCTGACAGGATTAAGAGGAAAACACATTTGGGGATTATATCTTATTTCTTTCAAGGTGCATGTCAAACAATTTATGCTAAGTACTACCTAATTATACAAATACAGACATCAAGTTTGATTCTTTTTTTTTTTCTGTTTCTTTTATTCTTATTACAACTATATGCGTTTTCTTGCAAAAGTGCAAGTACATTTGCTTTCATCTGCATGGAGTAATGGCCGAGTAGGATAATGCAGATAAAAAAAAAAAGAGGTTATTATAAAACGTATGTAAATTAAGCTACCCAAGCATATTTAGTACATTCATTTTGAAGAGCCTGCCGATACATTTCCTGTAAAGAACAGGAACAGCTTTGAACAGCACTAGGCAGAGAGGCCTTGTTCAAAGACCACATATTTTCTGTCATGCAGTATTTGATACCTGAAGAGAGTGCTGGTTAATCCCCTCATTGATGAGCCAACGACAGATAATCAAGAGTTTGCTGCATAATTATGTATAATACATATAATTACCATGTAATACTCTCCCTTCAAAACGATTCCAGTGTTCTTTGTCCATAATAAGCTAAAAACCTTGTAATAGCTATGGAACGGACATATTTACCAAACTTCAAAATATAGGTTCCAAGTACTCTGTGGCAACCCATTTATCTAAATTTAATAAAAGCAACACTGGGTATATCTGATAAGTAGAAAACTGCAACAGAAATCATAAGACAGAAGGCAAAATAAAGATTTTAGTAGAGAAATCAGCAGGTAGCTCACCTGCTCAACTCTCTCTCAAGGTAACCAGTGCAATTCCAAGAAACTTTATATTCAATTCATCTTACAGGTGATCGTAGCTAAATAAAGTAGTAAGGAAAAAGTACAATGAAGAACGAGGACCAGTCTCTGCAAGTCTAATCTCTAAAACAAACTGCTGGTTTTCTAGGTGTCTGCAGATATGCCACAGAACACAGATTCAGGGCAGAAGTGGAAAGAAGACTTCCTTGTAAAAGTTACAGTGGTCCAACCATCTACAAAAAACTGGGGGTAGCAGAGGCGTTAAAGTCCATGCAGAACGGGAATGAAGCACTGACTGTAGAAATTTGTGATTAAAAATTATTTTAGTTCATGGTAGAAATGTTTTAGGTGTAAGCATTGGGGGAACACTGATAGACACTGAAAAGTCAGTAATGTTACAGGAAGAAAAATGAGGTAGAAGCTGCACATTAGCAGAACTGGTAACTGTCGCTAGCTTACCAACTCACACAACTGTATTACGGCTGACAGTATCATATTATTTGGTTTGAGGTTTATTAATACTGACTGTTGGTTTCAAAATGCTGTGTAAGAATCGCAGCTCTTACTCTTAAGAGCTTATAGCCATCATGTTTTTAAGGAAGAATAATTCAAGAGCGTGCTTAGGCAATTTTGGGATTCTCAGAATCTAGACGCAAAATTGTTTCCATAAATGTATCTTAAGGCTTTTGGTAGGAGAGCTCTGCCAGCAGAAAGACAAAGTCTGTAGCACCAAGAACAGTGCATTATAGATTAAATGGATTTAGACTAGTGAGTTTTTTCAGTGAGTTGAAAGAAATCTTTGAAGAAGTGGTATATTAGAACCTTAGTGCTCTTTCTCTGAATCTTTGTGCACTATGTTTAACATTTAGGTATTTAAATGTTTGGGCTTCATGTCCACAATGATTTTTCTTTTAAACACAAATGTCTTGCAAGGTTTTTTCTCTATTCGGTGTGTCCTGAAATTCTTTCAGGAAAGCTTGACTTGCCCAGATAGTATGAGGGATATTAGAGACTTCCTAGTAGTCAGAATAAATGGAGTAAAGAGCAGGCAAAAAAGGAATAAAAAAATCAAATTCTACTCGTGGACTTTTGCAGTATCAGAACTAATGTAGGAGGCTTTGGAGAAAGTGTTTGGACAACTTGGGCAAAAGGGGTTTCTGTCCAATAGGAAATAATTGCATGTAGATCCATCCTGATGCAATCCTTTGTAATGTAAGAGAGAAAACTGAAAAATAAAGAGTTTTCTGAGAAAGTGCCTCACAAATTTTTATTTATTACTCAACCCATAATGAACAGAACAAACCTCACTGTTTAATAGCTTAATCAACCTTCTATACAACTGTTCATCAGGTTGAATTTGATAATTACCAATACCCTCTGAGGCACTAAATACTCGCAGCCTGCACCAAACACAGCGATCACATCTGAGCTTTTTCCATTAGCAATGTGCCATTTCTTCTATGTAGAAAAGAGATGGTGTTTATGGTGCTTATTTCTATAAACCGAAATAAAGCTGCAGATGTACAGTGTGATTTGAAATGGGGAAAGAATAAATATCTGTATTGAGAACCTGCCTTTCTTCTAAAGATCTATAGATTAAAGTTAAGGGGTACTGCTACCTCTACTTAGACATCTTTACAACTCAGTCCGTGGAATTTTCTTCTCTTGAACTACTGTATCAAGCCAGTTCAACACAAATTACTCAGAATCCTTGCAAGATACAAGAGACTACTTCTGTCTTAACATTATTCCTTACCTAACATTATTCCTTATTATGTACCTATAGCTAATTAGTCCAGTGTTTGGGGAATTCTGTCTTACTTGGACTTAGCTTCCAGCTGTCTGAACTTGTTAGGTCTTTAATCGTTAGGTGAAATACAATACTTTGCATATAGGTGCTAATAGACCATTGTCAATGCACTACTTAGCCTTCTTTAGACAGGCTTTATGAGCTATCTGCTCACTGTACCATTGTAAGATGTTTTCTGTTCCTCAGATCATTCTGTGGTTTACAGTGGACTGAATGCATGGTGGGGGCATGGCACTGAAAATGGATGCACAGAACAAACACAGCTTTAACAAACTATTGCTTTTACTGAAGTTGCATCTCTTTATAGCAAACTCTGTTCAGACTTGGTGTAATGAGATTTTTTCTCTTACATTGTCGTAGCATCATAGTGAATAAATTGTCAAAAATACCCTACTTTTTTTGTTAAATTCTTTCATTTCTAGCTACTTTAGGTCTGTACTTAAAATGATAGTGGTGGTCTCAGCTAGTACTTAAAATGATAGTGGTAGTTGCAGCTAGGAATTTGTTTTTGAAGGTGCCTCTGGAGGTGCAAAGTATGGCTATCTTAGTAGTAAAAGGTTTCATATTTAATGCAAGATTTCAGTTTCAGTTTCTTTTTACTTTGTTTTTGAGACTGGTGGATGAACAGCTGGGGTTCTGGGAGCAAGACCTCTTTGTTTTAGGGTGGGTCACTTGTCCTTTTCTTATATGTTATAGAAGGAGAAGGAGATGCACAACGAAATCCAAGTGAGCAAACCGGGGAGGCCCAAGGGGAGGCAGCAAAGCAAGAAAGCTGACATCTGACTTTGACCGACTGGAGCAGCTGCTGGATGTTTTCAGACTACAAGAGCATGCTGGAACAAATTTGTTTCCATGAGCAAGCTGGTGGAAAAGAAAGTGCATGTGTCTTCACTGCTGGAACCCACTCAACACAATGCTAAAAATGGGGGTACAAGCTGTGGCAGAAGACAGAATTTTCTCTACCTCTGTCATTAGCAATGGTTGAACATGTATTGATTTTTTGGGATAGTGTCATCAGATGGATCCTTCATAATGACTACTTGATGGGAACACTTTTAGAAAGTAGAACAGGTAAATCTTGTAGCAAATGGCCTTTGAAATGTCAGAGGATCTAATTGTGTATCTTAAGAAAAGGCTTGTGTGATCCTCAGAGTTTAAAATTCTCTGGCCAAAGTGTTCACCCATTAAAAGAACTGTAAAGAAAGCACTGTTTTTAGAACCTTGCGTCTGTTTTACAGCTCTGTTATTTACAATGGTTTTTGTATCGTACGACTTAGATGCTCCACACTGCCCCTTCTCAACTGCTTATGAAGAATATTTCTGTTACTGTGAATTTTTCTACCACGCGTTTTGAAAGGGCTGGTTTTTTGCATACTGTGGTGATGTGCACATGATAGATTTAAAACGTCAACCGCTAAATTGATTATGCCTAAACCTAAATGACTCAGCAACACTCTAATTTGTTACTAGATGAGCCTTCAAAACGATTTGTTAATGTGAATACTTCAGCGTGTTTTGTGTCCTTGGTACAGTTTTGCCACTTGCCTGTAGTTAGTTGCGTATCAGAGACTCAAATTGAATCTTTTATGTTATTCTTCCCCATTTTTCTAATTTTACTCCCAATTTCTTAATCTTTCTCCGAGATATTTTTTTAAAATGTTAGTCCAAGTATTTTATTGTTACGGTAGTTTTAAGAATACATTTATAACCTTGTATGGGTTAAAATTCAGACAAATTCCGTGGTGCTAGAGATTTTCCTGGTTCACATTGTTAAAGATGGGCCTTTGTTTACACACGGGAGAATAACTGGCATAGGTTATTGCCAATTATGTATTCTAGAATGAGTTTTAGATTGCAGGATAGTCCAACTAGTGGATCATGGGCTGGATCCAGCCAGGGGGACTATTTTTTCTATTCCTTGCCTTTGCCTCAGTTGATCAGGCTGTTGAGTTTGCACAGCTAGTAGCCTGTTACTGATGCACCAGGTACAGCCAAGTGCTAGAAGCTGCTACAGCAGCCTTTTAGCTAGGATGCGGAGAGGGAAGTGAGAGACCTGGCGTCTAGCACCCAAAAGACTGTATTTTTCCCATTTCAGCTATTCCAAAATGACAGTCCAAGCTGGACCTTCACTGACATACTAGGATAGCTTGTCCATCCAGAGGATTACTTAAAATACCTACAAATTAATAACCTATTCTGCAGTAGCTATGCTGATTGATTTCCTTCCCCCCATCCCACCCCAACAGACAAGGCCATATATGAGGCTGAATACTGCAAAATGGGGCAGCCACACCTCTGTGTGACTAAGGTGAGTAAAGAGAATGACTGACTAGTAAACCACGGCAATCACATAAGCACCAATCACAAAGTCAGAAGATTTGTTTTCTTTTATTAACAGGAGGTGATGTCACTTTCTTTATATATAGTATATATATTATATATATTTTTGTGTTGTTGTTGGTTTCAAATGTTATGCACTTTTTAATGTTTGTAAACTTTTACTAATGAATAGTGTGATTGCTTCCTGAATATATTAATCATCAGTTAACAAAACATCTTTGTGGCCACAGCTGTTTGTTTCTACCATGTGTATCATAGTACTTGTCACCTGAAATTCTTCTGTGAGATGTGTGGAGAAAAAAAAAACCACTTCTGATCAGTATTATGAGCTCATTTATTAGTGTTAATAAAAAACAAGCCAGCAGTATGCTTGTGGCTCATTAGTGTAATAATAACTCTCACCTTTTATGGTTTGGAAGCTGAATGCCTTGCTCTTATTAGCTGTCAAATGCCCTATCATCTTGGTAACAGAAGTAGTCCATTTGCTTTGAAAATACTGTTACCCTTAAACTAATTATTTATTCATTTCACTTGGTGTTCCTTTCAAAGTTAATACATTATTATTGATTTTTTTTAATTATTAAAAAAAATAATTCTGTTTTCCCCCCTTGCTCTTGCATCAGGTCTTCAAGTGGAACTGGTTGCCCCTTTGTCATGGACTAGTTACTGTCAATCTAGCACAACCACCAGAAGGAAATAAGATTCTAGGGCTTTTTATAGTGTTACTTTATTGATGATCCATGAAACACCATCAATAAAATGTCGTGGAAAAAGGTAATAGTGGAATAAGTAATTACAGTACATTGAAGTGTTGGTTTTCCTTATTTTCCTTCAGTGCTTTTCTTTATTTCAGTACACTTTCCTTCTTAATTCTTCTGTGTTGTGAAATAAAATTCATTTCAGCCTTTCCTCTCTATTTTGTACCTGTTTCTTCTATTTCTCCTCTTGTTTTCTTTTGGTTTTAAAACAATTATGGAGGCATTTTCTGGTTTTTGAAACACATCTCTTTGTGCTGGAAAATAGCGCTGTTAATTTTAGTAGAGTAAAAGGCTGTTTATGTTCCTCATCCCCCAAAAGCGTATGAGTGTGCTTTACCACTTGAACTCTGCTCACTCTTTTTATTTGGGGTCTTTCTGTAGCATTTATAACCAGGCCTCACTTTATGTAGACGTGTGGTTAGTCTGTGCCAAATCACAGCACGGTATCTTGAGTACTATTATTACCCAAGCAATTACAAAAGAGCTAGTTCAAGTATAGTCACACCTTTATTTCTGTGTAATTGCATCATATAACAGGGACACTGATGGCAGAATCGGACTTTGACTGGGTTATTTTTCCCTTTGCTAGTTATCTTTTTCAGTAAGCCTGCCACTCTGGGTTCTGTTCCAGTATCTTCTTTATATTTTGTTGTTCTCATGATAGGTAAAATGTTTAAATGTTTGTTTAATCCAGGATTATCTTAGAAAAGTCTCTCCAAAAGCTATATACACTCAACAAAGTTAGGTCTGGACTATCAGCTTAATAGAATACTCCTTAAAGCTTTGGTTTTGGTGGGGGTTTTTTTGGTGGTGGTGTTTTTTGTTTGTTTTACTGTCTCTTTAGTTGCATGTTTTTCAGTGCTTCCTTCACCCTGCCAGCCCCGTCACTTCAAAAAATAGTCTCTGTACTCATGTTCTTGTTGCTCATAATAAAGTCTACGACTATGTTCGCAAGCATTGCACTTGCAGGGTTTAGGTTCTCCATCCACTAGAAACACAAAGAGTATAGAACTAGAATTGCACAGAGATACTGGCATTTCTTTCTACTTATTTCCATTAATGTTGTGCATGTGCTTCAAAAAGCTTCTATTAAAAGACAGCAGCAAGCATGCACATACCATTATTTCATCAAACTATCATTTTAAGCCAAAAGTTCACTGTGATCTTCCATACAACAATTATTAAATAAATATGAAAGAAAAGTCAGTATACCTGCTACTCCCTGCTATTTCCCTTGCCGTGTTTTTTCCAATTTTAAAAGGGGGAAAAGTGTATGCTGGTATGAGTGACAGGTCCTGAGGAGTTAGATTTCATGCAAATGGATAATGAAATTATATGGTGTCCAGAAGGAGGGAGCGACTACCAAAGTGGTTAAGCTGGAACTTCTACAGTATGAATGCCTTCCTCAGCTAAACAGTGAAGAATTCCAGGTGTGCTTAATGTTTATATTTTATGTTTCAGAAATATCAATGAATGTTTTACAAAGGAAAGACTGAGAGCTGCTGTTGAGACTGAGCACAGTAATGTAACCTCAACTTTGACAAAGCTTGCCTTACCTCAGCAGTATTCCTATGTTAAACTGCTGTATTTTTGCCCTGACTTGTTTCTTTGTTTTGCTCTGCCTCTCCTCCTGGCTGGTTTATTTTCTGTCCTGTGCTTCCCTCATGTAAAATAATACCCTAGAAATATATGGATATAGAGTGCTGTATTGGATTTTCTGTATATTTAACTGACTGAAGTCTTGTAGTGGAAAGGTTGTTTCTCTTCATCTTTGTGATCAATGCACAAAGGGGGATCTGCTTCAAAGTTCTCAGCACAAGAGCAGCAGTAGAGCCAGGACTTTTCTATCTTTTCTTAATAGTAAGGCAGGTGGAGCCCAATGCAGAAAATATCTTCCTCCATCATATGATGGACAGTCAGGATGTGTTGGTCTTAGCTAAAAAGAAGATAAATTGTTCAACTTAGCTGATATTTTGACTTCAGAACCAACCTCAGGTTTTCAACAGTGCTCTGGAACAGAAGCATGCATAAATCTGTGGCCCTTACCCTTGAGACAAATGACAATCACCAGGTTCTAATGAAAGAGAATGAGAGATTTCTTAGATAACTTAGAATACAGGATATTCTCTGAAAAGCAGAAACTTTTAACAGCTAGGAAAATGATAGAAATCAGGGTAGCAGCAGGAACGTTCTCGCTGTTCTCTGCAGCCTCAGGCTGAACTCTCTCCTCCTTCTTTTGTCATGATCAGGGATACTATACTGGATGCAAGAGAATAAGGACAGAGATGGGTCAATATGGATGTTTGGTGCATTTCCACTATTTTATTTATGTAATGTACTGCCAATATCTGTCTGAGAGAAAATAATTGTCAAACAATGGTCTGGACAAATAGGATAACAGGGTACTGAATCAGTTCCCATTGTTGTGTGTGACTAATCTAATTGTGAGTTAACAGCATATGAACGTATCTTAAAAGCAGAGGGTAAAGCTGAACACAAATATAGTGCACTCATGCTGACAAGAAGCATCCCCGTCTTCTGAAAGCAGCAGGACTTCACGCTCTACCCTTTTACATTGATTCTTACATTATGGCTTGGAGTTGCTGATGTTTTAGGATGGAGGGCAGGACAGACTTGCCAACTGATGACATCTGTGTGTACAAATGATCTCTGTGTTTTCAGGCAACACATTATGCTTCAGTACCCTGAGACCAAGTGTTTATAAAAAGACCAATGCTAGTGATGACTTGCTTATGAGTCCTTAAGTAACCTTTTAGCAAATTAGCCATCAGTATACATTTTCAATCCCATTTGCTGTTAAGAAATTCTCTGGTGCTGATCCATGAGTGTAGTGTAACAGGTGATAGTCTGATACAGGCTTGACCAAGGCAGATCCTCTTGAGTGCTCTCAAAATGTCTTGAGACAAAAATGTTTGCAAAAAATCCACACTACCTTCTTGCACTAGCAAAGACAGATGATAAGTGTTTTGTATTTATTAAAATTTTGTATCAGTGGTTAAGCAGTTAATGCTTAAATCTACTTCCATGAAAAAAACACCTTTTGATCCTGAAAAATTAATCAGTTTTTAACACACAAAAGGATAAGAGATGAAATGAAAAAAAGTGACTCAGCAGTAATTTATAGGAAATAGTGACATATTGTCTGAGAGCTGGATGGGAGATATTTGTAGGGAGAACAAATCTTGAGCAGCTCTGCAAACCACTATCGGGGGATTAAAGCTACTTGTCATTCAATCAGTACTAGTGTGGCCCAAATCATGCCTTTGTTAGCAGGTGAGTTGATCTATTCTGCATCTGTTTTGTTGCATTAGCATGTAAATTAAGTCTCATTACGTTCATCAAACGTGGATATTGCAAACAGATAGACAGAAGC